AGGTCCGGCCCGCGGCCGCCGGAGTCCCGGCGCATCCTCGGTGCCGCCTGCCGCGCCCTACCCCGCTCAGGCCGGCGCGCACGGTCGAGCGGCTCTGCGGGCCGGGCCGGGATCTCTGGGCTCCCTGGGCGAGAGGCGCTCTCGAATAAACAAAAGACAATTTAGAAAGTGAAATCTATATTTTAAAATGCTTTTTTTCCCTTTTGTATGCAGACATAGGTAGGTTGGTGCAGCGTCAGTGTACCGCTTCTGCAGGGATTAACGGGGACTTCTCCAATGTGGGGACTGCAACTGGGCCCTGGGACTTGCAAATTGTGGGGTGAGGTCTGTGCCCGGGTGGGAGCCTTGAGACCCTCCCTGTCGCCGTCACTTAGCCTCTTCTGGCTGCACCTTCCTCTTTGGACACTGGGAATGATAGCTTTTGTCATAGGCGTCGTTGTGAGGTTGCGAGAGTTGGTGTTCTACTGTATAAAGTGCTCCCGACAAGAAATGCTCAGAAATGTGACTAACCATGAGCTGATTTGTATCCTACTTACATTTTCTAAAAAACTGGATTTGAGGCATCATACTTACACAGTTTGGGAACCTGATATTTTTTTGCTGAACATTATACGGTAAGAGTTTTCTGTCGTGAACTCCTGTACGTTCTTGGGCACCGTAACTTCTTGGTTTTTCATTTTTGTCTTCTGTAAAAGTGAGGATGATTATAACGCTTACTTGGGAGATGGTGTGAAGAATAAATGACTTACTAAACAGCTTCTGTTAGAGTCTCGGCGGCTGAAGATTCATTAGATGTATGTTAGTATCGTCTACGAAGCAAGCAATTCTGTGCTGACAGTTTTCTTCACCATAATGTAACTTCCATAGTATTATTTCCAAGAAATGATTGACAAAAAAGAATTGACACATTGCTAGTTTTTAAAAATATATTGTGTTGATAAATAGGTAGATCCTTTCCTTATACCTAACAGAGAAAGCAGCCTAAGGTCTCGTGGTAGAGTGTTCTAAGAGCAGTTCTGAATAGCCAGAGAGCTAAAACATACGAAAGACTCTGTAATTATGCTCGAACTTATAGACATAACCGTCAATATTTTCCCAATACTTCATAATTGTTTTTTTTTATTGTTCGTACTCCCCTGCTCATCCAGTTAACATCTGATTACAGTTAAAGATTTGCCACTTTGGGCCACAACTATTGATGTCTTTCGTTCTAATTATATTTTACTTTTTTTTTTTTTTTTGAGGTTTTTGCTATAGGGCATGTACGCTCGCCAGACAGACAGAGAGAGACAGAGAGACAGAAAGCGAGAAATCCCCCCCCAGGGGGGATGGCCACGCCGCAGTCCCTTCTCCTCCATTCTCCTCTCGGGATCTTGGGCACGCACGCACACGTGCCCGGTGTGTTTTAAGCCACCGGGTCCGGGACGCGAACTGTGGTCGACTACTTGACAGTCCAGCGACATAGCCATTACGCTAACTGCTGGTTCCCGTAATTATATTTTACTTTTTGATCTACATTTTTAGTCGCTCCCCATCATTTTTATATAATAAGTATAATATCTGGTAAAATACTCAAATCACCTGGGCTTCTATGTAGGGGTAATTCTGCACCAGAGGTGTGGGCTGCCAGAGGGCCCCATCACGCAGGAACTGTGGTGACATTTTCATTCCTGACTTTCCTTGGCCTTTATTGAAATGTCATACATATCAGTAGTAACGAGTTGGGACATTTCGTTTTTGCCATAGTGGTATAGTATTTAAGGTTTAGAAACAAGCTGATATTTAGCCATATATTTTGTCATTTGAAAAAAAAAAAAAGGCATGAGCCAGCAAGTGGCATGGTGAAGGCGTGAGATACCCATGCGGCTGGGAAGACAATCTCTCCACAAATGGGGCTTAGGGCTTGGTCCTGGGATGACCCTGTGACCCCAGAATACTCATCCACCGTGCACCCCCTTTCATCACTACAACATTATAATATACAATGAAATGGTCACACTACAGTAAGGTTTGCTCCTGTGAAAATCCAATGCCACCGCTGATCTGGCAGGTGGCAGAGCACAGGCAGCAACATGATAGGTGGGAAGTGGCTGCAAACACAGACGCACTTGCCCACCGCCCACCCCTGCTCCCTGGCCAGCAGACTGAACAAGCCTACTGCCCGTGGGTTGGGGACCCCTGCCCAACAGGATCCTGACACCATGATCCACCCCCAGCCCCAGACAGGCCAAGATTCATGGCCATACTTCCCCCTGGCACACCCGGGGATGTCCCCAGACTTGAGCTTGGGACCTTCCCACGTGGGTCGGCCCTGCAGAGCACATGCTATGGCTGTACCACCATCTGGCCCTTGTTCTCTGATGCTGTCGACCTCTGGCTTTGCTTCGTGCAGTGATGTCAAGTCATTCTGGTTTTTCGCTTCTGTTGTATTTCTTGAAAAACTTCAGTCCTTCTTTCATCTCACTTGTGTTGTTTGAGGTACTGAAACAAATATTTGCTGGCACCTGAGTAAATATCAGTAGTTGGATAGTTTGTACATAATGATTTTTCTTGTAGCTCAACTGTCCCTTTTTCCGTCATAGAAATCATTATCAGAAAACATTAGGGGCCAGCAGGTGGTGTGGTGGTTGGTGCTGATTCCCACATGGCTGACAATTTAAGTCCTGGATGTGGCAATTTGAAAATCACACTGGGCATGTGTGTGTGCATGCCCAAAATCCTGAGAGGAGAAGAATTGTGAGATGGCCATAGCCTCCTGCGGGTGATTTCTGACTCTCTGTCTCTCTGTCTCTCTCCAGGGAGTGTTCATGCCTTATGGCAAAACCTAAAAGAAAAAAAGAAAAGAAAACCTTAGAGTTTGAAAGAGCCTTAAACTTTCTCACCTGAAATCTAAGAATTTACAGTCCCTTAAAAAAACAGCATGTGAAAACAGAACAGTCGAAGAACAGGAAATGCTGTGTGTAGAGAGTCAAATGGTTGGTGCAGTAACTATTGAGGACACAAATGACACATTGAAATCTTGCTTGTGAAGAGTCTTGATTGATCTGCCCAGGAAAGAAAACTTGTTTTCTCTCGAGATTTTAAAAAGCATATTAGAATATTTTAAATTAGAAGCAAAAGTTAGACCTACATGTATTTTGCTTCTGGTTTTGTGGAAGGTTTATGTTCTTTTGTACCCCGCCCCTGCCATTTGTGAGTTGTGCTGTGTATTCTCAGCTGTTCCAGCAGTTCATGGTTTCTTCTAGAACTTGACCAAGTAGAACGAGTCTTTTGGCAGTAGATAACCAGGGTTGTGACCTGGACCTTCTGGGAAGTCCATGTCTTTAGTACATGTACAGAACTCCAGAATTCCAAATTTCACCCCAATTTTGAAATTCTACAATTATATGTGTTAATAAACAACTATTGAAAATATGGATATACCCTTCCAAGTTAAAATATCCTGGATGTTTATTAGTAAGAGTAATTTGCTTCATATTACCATGTTTGTCTCCTATTATTTCAAGATCACTTAAAATAAAAGATTTAGAAGCTTTTGAAATGGGAGTGAGGAGGAATAGGAGACTCGGAGGAAATGGGAGACGCTAGAAAGACCGGGTGAAGAGAGAGGAGAGAGGCACTTGCGTCCCAAAAGTGCCAGGAACGAGCTTTACCAGTTGAGCACTTCTGTGCCCGGGGCCTGGATTACAGCATCGTCACCACCTCTCATAACTTGAGCCTAGACCCAGCTTATTTATATCCATCTGCACCCAAACAACCAGAGGAACAGAGCCTTCAGTTAACCAAGCCGGACACCAAGGAAATTAAACTGAAAGAATGAAGAACTAGAAGTGGGTTGAATTCCATCAGGTCGGGACCAGCAGATGGCGTGATGATTAAACCCCACATGGTCAACCCAGGGTTAAGTCCGGGACCTGTTGGCTCACTTTCTCATGCCATATAGTAAATTAAAATAATAATAAGTAAAAAAATTAAATCTTAAAAAAAAATTCTTTCAAGTCACCACTGAAAGAACTTGAGAGTCATTTAAATTCATCTCTTCCCTTTCTTTTTTCAAGGTGAAGAAACTAAGATGCAGGGAAACCATGGACCTTGGCCTTGAACACACAGCTAGTGGGTCCCAGGCCCGGTCTAGAATTCTGGTCTTTTGAGTCACAGATAAGCTCTTTGTCCTCCAGAGAGATGGCTTGTCACTGTGCACTTGAGCATATTGTCTTCCAAGACAAAGCAAGTAAAGGCTCTGCATGGGCTTTATGAACTGCTGTGCAGTTCATCCCCGGTGGTATACCTCGGTGGTATGCCTAATGTGGTAGGATTTCTAGGCAGGATTCTTTCTCATGCATATGGTCTGGTTTTTTGTTCTTTTGCTCTGTTTTCCCCAGTTTCTGTAGAATTCATAGTAATGTTTTGTAGACTGCTTTTTTTCTCTTTTTTTGAGAGAGAGGCTTTTGCTGTAGAGCGTGTGCGCTTACCAGAAAGAGAGACAGAGAGACAGAAAGTGAGAAATCACCCCTCAGGGACGATAGCCACACCGCAATCCCTTCTCCTCCATTCTCCTCTCAGGATCTTGGGCACACACGTGCCTGGCGTGAGTTTAAGCCACTGGGTCCAGGACTCGAACCACGGTCGGCTACGTGGGAGTCCGGCAACATGGCCGTTATGCCATCTGTTGGTCCCTGTAAACTGCTTTTATAGGCAAGCTTTTCTTCTTTTTTTTTTTTTTTTGGAGAGATTTTCACTGTAGGGTGCGTGCGCTCACCAGACAGACAGAGAGAGACATAGGCAAGCTTTTCTGTAAATTTTCATTGGAAAAATAAGGATGAAGAACAGTGTAATGGTTTCTCCTGACTGGGGTTTGGTGCTTGAAGACAGAAATAGGAAGTGGTGGAGATGGTAGGTCAGAGGTTGTATGCATTTGGAATTTGAATAGGTATTGCTAAACTGTCTTCAGTAAAGGTAATACCCACCTATGGTCCCCCAGTAATATCAGAGAGTATATTCCTTAACTACACTTTGATCAACACATTACAGACATTTTGGTTTGCAGTCTGAGATAGGCATCTTAGTGAAATTATAATTGACGTTCTGTGACTATGACTGAGGTTGAGTATCATTCTTCCTGTTTTAGGAGTTGCTTAATTCCCTTTCCTGGGAGCCAGAGAATGTTTTAGAGCTGGGACAGATCTTCAAGATGCAGTCAGCTGTTCAGCTTACAGATGAGGAGCCCTTTTGACCATAGCTGCTTAGGTCGTACATGACTGATGCAGAACCAGACACCAGTCTCTGTGTTTATAAAGACAGCACCTGCAAAGGTCTCTGGGACAATCTGAGGTTTGGCTGTAGAACTAGATAATCTGGAAATTACAGGGTAGTGCCATCATACTTTGGCTATGAAGCTAAGTGCTTTTACTCTCCCTAAACTTGCAGGTACTTCATCTATAAAATAAAATTATTATTAACTTTTGTGTTTGCCACGATTGTGATGATTAGAGTTAATGTACTTGAACATGTAAAGTAGCTGACATGGGAGGCTCACGACTGTTATTGTCTCCCTCATATTTGTGCATTTTGTTACCTGACTTCCTCACACACATCTAAGTCCAGACTTAGACTAAAGTTCTTATAAAGGAAGGAAAGCCCAGTAGAGTTGGGGAGGGCATCTCTGCGGCATTCCAAGTAGCAAGGGGTGGGCTCCGAGACTGTGCCTTGGGGACACCTGCAATGCAGGCTTGACTTCTCTCCCTTCCCCTGCGCTCCAGTTTAGCTGCCAGTTATCTCCCTTAGCCAGGTGAGAAATGTTGTAGGAAGACATACCTATACTGACTCTCCAGGATCTGAGAAGGAAGTCCATTCACCTTTGCGGATTTTTTTTTTCCCAATGAGTTCCTCCTCTTCAGATTTATCAGGAGCTATGGAAAGGTTCCGGATTACAGAAGGAAAGATCGCATGTGTGCTGTGCTGGTGGCACCATGAGATACACTTTTAAAGCAAGAAAGAGGAATAGGAAGAGGGAAGAGAAGCCAGTGGGTGGAAACATGCTCTTTCTTTCTCATTTTTTAATTGCCAACGTGCATGTGCACTCTCTGAAGAAAAACAGAGACAAAGAGTGGGAGGAGAAAGCACTCCCCCCCACCCCACCCCACACACACTGCGGCGTAGTCCCCACAATTCCTTCTTCACCCTTGCTGCATCCTGTCAGGATTTGGGGCACACACGTACACACTCGGTGTGGTTTTCAAGCCTCCGGGTTGAGACTCAAGCCAAAGTTGCCATGTGGAATCTGGTTCCCTTAATCACTGGGCTGTGAGCTAGCCCAGAACATGTAAGTCATGATGCATTTTTGCATAGAGAAACACGTTATGACTTTTCCGACAAGCCAATAATTTATACACAAAAACCAGAGAATCGTCCCAGGTAGTCTTTCCGGGTAATCTTAGGGTTACCAAGAGTCAAGGTTTCTTTTCCTTTTTTTTTTTTAAATGGGAGTTATTATTTCACTTTTATTATTCATGGTTATCTTTCCTGTGCTTCACCAAAGTAAGATCACTGACAGGGCTGGGTCTGAAGACGGGGCAGGGCTAGAGTGGCATCTTTATTCCTCCATTACCTCTGGCTACCCACTTGCCCCGCCCTTGCCTGCTCTTTTCCCTCTCTCTTGTTTCCCCTTACCTCCACTTTGCTTCCTGCATTTCTTCTAAGTAGTCTATTCAACGCTAAGAGTCCCAAATAGCCTGTTGAATTGTTCTTTTAGCATAATAAATTGAAGTTCTCTGCAAGGTCAGCTAAAAGGGCAAACAAAAGATGTGTTCGTGTTAGCATGTGTGTGTGTGTGTGTGTGTGTGTTTCTCATTGCCTTCCTTGTCCCAATAAAAGAAAGCTAGATATAGACAAACAGTTGGAGTAGTGGCTATGTCTTTGGACTCCCATGTAGTCAACTGTGATTCAAGTCCTGGACCCGGTGGCTTAAACTCACGCTGGGCACATGTGTGTGCATGCCCAAGATCCCGAGAGGAGAATGGAGGAGAAGGTATTGCGGTGTGGCCATCCCCCCTGGGAGGGTGATTTCTTGCTTTCTGTCTCTCTCTCTCTCTCTCTCTCTCTCTCTCTCTGTCTTTCTGGTGAGTGCACATGCCCTATAGCAAAAACCTCTCCAAAAAAAAAAAAGAAGAAAGCCAGATAAAAAAGCTGTCCTTTCCAAGCAGCAACTTTGGAATGTGTGTCATTCCCGTGGAGTCTGCATTTCAGCTGCTCTTCCAGGCGTTGGAAACGCCCTTCTCTAGAGAAACATTGCTGGTATGACATCCCAGGGATGTCGGCCACCATCCTCCCCACAGTAAACACTGACCTGGGTGTCCTTCCTGAGGGCACGAGGTGGTAAAAGTATTGGGGAAGGTGGGACTAAAGAAGTAGGAAGTAGTGGGGGAGAAATGGGGTACCAAAGGGAGGTGTTTGCATAGGATTTAAGGCTGGTGCCGCCAGGGCCCTGAACCTCTCTGCTTTTGTCTTTACAGCTGCTGAAGGAAGAGGCCAGGATGAATGCACAGGTGAGTTCTTCCAAAAAACTAAGGGGTACTTTTCTTAGTGTCCCCCATTGCTTTTGCAGAGTTATCTTTCTCTCCTTCAGGGCTTTCAGAACTATCAACACCAACCTGAAAACACTTTCCCTCCATCCTGCTGGTACATGCATGGCTCTGGGTGATTCAGGAAGAATTAGGCCTATCTGGGTTCTTATCTATGACCGGCTAGATTCCGTTAGATTCCAGCGCACCCACTAAAGCTAATCTTGAAGTGTCACTCATGACTGCGGGGTGTCTGCTGGGCATCTTCTTCTGCTTTGTCTAGTGTTGAGCTGATTCCCCCACCTCTTTTCCTCCTGTCTTGTTGATCCACCATGGCAGACACAGAGCCCATCCCCACAAGATGGTGGTCAGATGAGAGTGACACTTAAGCTGGGTTTTCTGGTGCTTACAGCCCAGCACTTTCTCACTGATAAATGTCCCTTCCACTGTAAAAGACACATGGAGAGCCAGGAATAGAGGGAGAGACAGCTTTGTGCTCTTCGTGTTGTAAGGTGTCTCAAAACCCTCACCTGGGTGCTCAGCACGTGCCCCAGGCCCTCCATGTAGCTAGCCACAGGCGACTCTCGTTCCCATTATCCTGAGCAACCAGGCCCAGTCTTCCATCATTGCCCCAGGCCCTCCATGTAGCTAGCCACAGGCCACTCTCGTTCCCATTGTCCTGAGCAACCAGGACTCCTAAGTTCTGTATTTCTCCAAGACCCCTCTTCACTCCTTGCATCGGGATCACTATTTATTTTGCAGAGAAATGTAAAAAAATTCCATCTCAGATCATCTTCCTCTGTTCCTGGCTTTCTATATGTGTTGTTCCTCTTGTTAAAGTGAAGGGGATGTTTATCAGTGAGAGAGTGCTGGGCTGGAAGTACTGAAAAACCCAACTTGATGTGTGTGTGTGTGTGTGTGTGTGTTTTCCTTTGCTTTTTTTCTGGAGGCCTAGCTGAAGGATAGGCTTCAGGGCAGTTGATCCAGTGGCTCAGTGATCTCACAAGGATCTGGGATCTTCTCATCTCTTCTGCTCTCCATGTATTTGGTTCATCCTTGGACAAGTTCCCCTTGAGGTTGCAGCGGTTGGGGCTACGCATTCTCAGTTCCTTGCAGCAGGATAAGAAGTGGCATCCTACAGCTTTTTCAGAAGTGCAGGAATCTCTTTTTTTGAAGCCCCACCAAATGCCTCCTTCGGTTTTATTGGCTAGAATCAGTTCACATGGCCTGTCCTGGGCCAGTTACTGTGCCAGAGGAGCAGGGATTTTGCTGATTGGCTTAGATGAATCAAGCCAACCTTGGAGCAGCTTCCACTTCTACCACCTGCGTGAGGTCTATGAAGAAGAAAAGAGATCGGGTGTTGAGCAGGACCCATGTGCCCTGATACGAGGCATTTCTGGTCCCGCACCCTTCTCCATAACCTGAAATCGCAGATTCTCCCATCTGCTCAGCTCTTACTGGCCTCCTTATCTCCTCCTCCAGCTGTCCTGTTAACCTCATTTCTACCAGTTCTTTTTTTCACTATTCCAGAATGCTTTAGTTACCACTTTAGAACAAAGCAGCACCTCCCATCCTGTCAAGTAGCTGTTAACACTGTCTTCCTCATTTCCTTTGAGACAATTATCTTGAAAGAGATGTCTGTAGGTGTTTTCTCCATTCTCTTTTCTGAGTCATACTCAATTTGTTGCAGTCTGACCTCGTTTCCTACCATTACACTGAAATTAGTCTTGCCAGGGTCACGAATGTTTTCTTTAAATTTTATAAATTGTTTTTGTAATATAAACACAATTGTGCATCACCTAATGACTGGGATCCATTCTGAGAAATGTGTCATTGATAGGCAGTTTCATGCATGCGAAAACATCATAGAGTGTGCGTATGCAAACCCAGATGGTCCTAATACACATCTACACTGTTAAAATCTTTTTAAAAAAAATTTTGCCAGAGGGCATGTGCACTTGCTAGAGAGAGAAAGAGAAAGAGGAACGGAGAGAAAGCACCACCTATTGGGAATGGCCATGCCACAGTCCCTTCTCTTACAGTTTTTCCTCCTCTCAGGATTTTGGGCATGTATGCACACACACCCAGTGTGTTTTTCAGGCCACAGGGTGTGGGACTCTGTGCAATTAGTTATGTGGGATCCCGTTGCCTTAATCACCAGATGGCCCTCCTATTAAAATCTTATGGGACCACCATCACATGTGCAATCCATCATTGACTGAAATGTTCTTACGCAGTGAAGGACTATACATGCACGTAATACAGAACTGAAGAGCTATGAAATGATACTTGTCAAAAGAAAATCTCCCTAGCACCTTATCTCAGCCAGGCACCCCTCCCTGGGGCTGTCTTCCGTGAACTGCTTTCTTATACCTCTGACCTCTTTACCTAGAAGCCTCTGTGGCTCTCTCTATAGTTCACTCTGATTCCCCAGGCCCTTTAAGTTCTGAAGGATAGAATCTTTGCATTACTCCTTAGGTCGTACAGGCTGGCCCACTCAAGTAGCAGTTCCATCAGTCATCAAGTATCGCTTCTGTCATTTCATTTCTACCTCTTCTTCACTGATGGCTTGTTCCTCTTAATCTTTTCAAAGCACTCCTAGGTGTGGGTCCCCCTCTAGCTAACTGCGGTTTTATTGGCTAGAATCAGTTCACATGGCCTGTCCTGGGCCAGTTACTGTGCCAGAGGAGCAGGGATTTTGCTGATTGGCTTAGATGAATCAAGCCAACCTTGGAGCAGCTTCCACTTCTACCACCTGCGTGAGGTCTATGAAGAAGAAAAGAGATCGGGTGTTGAGCAGGACCCATGTGCCCTGATACGAGGCATTTCTGGTCCCGCACCCTTCTCCATAACCTGAAATCGCAGATTCTCCCATCTGCTCAGCTCTTACTGGCCTCCTTATCTCCTCCTCCAGCTGTCCTGTTAACCTCATTTCTACCAGTTCTTTTTTTCACTATTCCAGAATGCTTTAGTTACCACTTTAGAACAAAGCAGCACCTCCCATCCTGTCAAGTAGCTGTTAACACTGTCTTCCTCATTTCCTTTGAGACAATTATCTTGAAAGAGATGTCTGTAGGTGTTTTCTCCATTCTCTTTTCTGAGTCATACTCAATTTGTTGCAGTCTGACCTCGTTTCCTACCATTACACTGAAATTAGTCTTGCCAGGGTCACGAATGTTTTCTTTAAATTTTATAAATTGTTTTTGTAATATAAACACAATTGTGCATCACCTAATGACTGGGATCCATTCTGAGAAATGTGTCATTGATAGGCAGTTTCATGCATGCGAAAACATCATAGAGTGTGCGTATGCAAACCCAGATGGTCCTAATACACATCTACACTGCAGTTTCATGCATGCGAAAACATCATAGAGTACAAACCCAGATGGTCCTATTACACATCTACACTGTTAAAATCTTTTTAAAAAAAATTTTGCCAGAGGGCATGTGCACTTGCTAGAGAGAGAAAGAGAAAGAGGAACGGAGAGAAAGCACCACCTATTGGGAATGGCCATGCCACAGTCCCTTCTCTTACAGTTTTTCCTTCTCTCAGGATTTTGGGCATGTATGCACACACACCCAGTGTGTTTTTCAGGCCACAGGGTGTGGGACTCTGTGCAATTAGTTATGTGGGATCCCGTTGCCTTAATCACCAGATGGCCCTCCTATTAAAATCTTATGGGACCACCATCACATGTGCAATCCATCATTGACTGAAATGTTCTTACGCAGTGAAGGACTATACATGCACGTAATACAGAACTGAAGAGCTATGAAATGATACTTGTCAAAAGAAAATCTCCCTAGCACCTTATCTCAGCCAGGCACCCCTCCCTGGGGCTGTCTTCCGTGAACTGCTTTCTTATACCTCTGACCTCTTTACCTAGACGCCTCTGTGGCTCTCTCTATAGTTCACTCTGATTCCCCAGGCCCTTTAAGTTCTGAAGGATAGAATCTTTGCATTACTCCTTAGGTCATACACGCTGGCCCACTCAAGTAGCAGTTCCATCAGTCATCAAGTATCGCTTCTGTCATTTCATTTCTACCTCTTCTTCACTGATGGCTTGTTCCTCTTAATCTTTTCAAAGCACTCCTAGGTGTGGGTCCCCCTCTAGCTAAATCCCTTTCTCTTCTGCCTTGAATACATGTCGCACAGTGTCTGTGACCACCTTCTCACTCCTTTCATATCCATGTACCACAGTCTGACTTTGTTCCCACTGCTCCACCACTCAGCGGAAGGTAACCAGTGAGCTTACATGATCAAATATGGTGGACTTTTTTCTTGGAGCATTTGATACTATTGACCACATTCTTCTTGAAACCCTTGACAGCCAGGGTTTCTTCCTTCTCTTAGACTCTTCCTTAGGCTCCTCTTCTTTATACTTCTTGAGAGTTTGTCTTTTCCAGGGCACTTCTTGTTCTACTCACTGCCCTGAGAACACGTGTTCCCATAGCTTTTAGTATCAGTTGTATGTTTAGATCGTCCCCAGTGGATCTACTCGAGCAGGTTTTTCTCCTCAGCTCCGGATCCATACATCTAGAAGTCTGTCGCTCATCTTCATTTAAAGGTTCTATTGGTCTCCCGAACTCTTTCTAACTCAAGCTAAACGTTCTGAATTTTTTTTTTTTTTTTTTTTTTTTTTTAATTTCCAGGAGGGCACTCACCAGAGACACATGGTCATACAGCAGTCCATTCTCCTCCATTTCTCCATCCATTTGGGATTTTACACACACACACGAGCGCATCCACTATGTTTCTCCATCTGTTAGGGACGGGATTTGAACCATGGTCAGTCATGTGTGATCTGCTTCCTTAACCATTAGGCCATGGAGTGATCCCTGTACTTTTCTGCCTTTTTTTTTCTTTTTAGAATTATTCATTTAATTTTATTTATTTATTATTATTCTTTAATTTAACCAGAGAGAGAGAGAGTCCAAGCCACCAGGGCCAGGACTCAAACCACAGTCATCCATGTGGGAGT